CCCCCTCCCCACCCCAACCCTGCCACGCAAACCCCTAACAGCCTGGCTCCCTGCCACCAGACCTGCCCTGCCCTTTCCAACCTGCGGGGCCAGAGCCAGCAATGGGACCCCAGTCCACAACGGGACTGTAGCCCACGCGCCCGCACACCCCAGCTGGCAGGCGGGAGCAACCCAAGCAGGTCTCCTCACCTCTCCTCCGACTCTTGACACTGGCTGGAGATTCTAGGGAACTGATGGCAAAGCCAAAGAAGAAAGTCATCCTGCTTACTGTGTTACCTGGAGAAACCAAACCTTTCCACTGGTCTCCTCTTCTGTTGAAAGGTTTTGTGAGACTTTGCATAAATGGGTGTGTGAGCGGGAAAGGCCTCACTGCAAAGCAGCCCAGTGCTACTGGTTCTTCGAATTGAGGAGCTGCGCCCTCTGCGCTCTGTGATGGAAGAAAGGTAAGGTGGGTTTTTTCAGGAGACCGATCTCCCTTTTCGTGATATACTGAGCTGAGTAAAAGAAAACCTAAAAGTGACATCTGTAGATTGCACAATAAGAAGTCATGCACTATGTGGGTTTATTTTTTTTTTAATGACGATGTTTTCATTGTATCAGTTCCTGCATTAGAAAAAGCTAGTGTAGCACACTTGCATATGGAGACATCATAGCTTGTGCAGGTTGCCTTCCAAAACCCATGGTTCTGCTGTGCTGCTTCGGCTCCTGCTTCTTTGAAGGGTTTTAACAATAGAAAAGGCTTGCAATCATTGCACAGAACAGGGGAAACAATAATTTTTACTTGGCACTGGGAGCTTTTGCACAGAAAACTTGCACGTATATACACACATATAAATACACACACACATATACAAAACTTGCTATACACACACACAGGTGCTTTCATACAAGGGAGAAATCCCATTTAAAACAGAGTAGAATTTAATTATACAGCAACATCTGTATTAAAAATTAGTCAGATGTATATTATATAACTTTTTGTTCAAGTATTCCTCCTGGTACACTTCATAGACTCAACACCAGAGTTTTCACTTTGAAAAATGCAACATCCCACAATTTTAACGTAAGCAAAACAGTACATTGATTAAGTAATGCAGGATCATACATTTAGACTAAACCTTTTCTTCAAATAATGACTAGTTCGTGTTTCTTGTTGCAGTGAATGCTATAACTGGACTCTTCTATTTTACCTTTTGGTACATAAGCCATAAAACTCCTCCTCCCAGTTGTTAACAACTGAAAAAATAAAAGCTAAAACTTTTTTAAAGGAAAAATACTGCTATAAAAATCGTAATTATTCCCTGTTCATATAGCTTCCTTGAATCAAGCTTCCAATGCAAATGGCATTTAAAAGCTTTGTTATTATTAGAAAAATACTAATTCAGTCAGAAATAATTTTCAAATGACTCTGCTATGTCGCTTCCAAACTACCAGAATAGGTTTTACTTAGCTCAGCACTATCATCATAAGAGCTTCTACCTTCCTGAGCGCAGGTTTTGCTTTGCTCAGTGTCATCACTATCAGACTGTCCCCCTTCCTGACAGCTAGAAACAGCTGCCTTCAGTTTTTCCTCGATTTTATCAGCTGCAGTGCACATTTTAAACTGTCTCAGACTGCTTATTAGGGTTCCATAGGCTCCTTTCATCCCATGTCTTTGATACCAGACTTGAAACAGCTTAATCTTCTGTTCAGATGTATCGTTAACATAATCCCGAACAGTTTGATCTATGATAGGTTCTGGTACTTTGTGATAACGAACAAATGTCTTGACTTCTTGGAGCGTCATCTCCTCCACAATACCAGCAACATGGCTGCTGAGGTCAACATCTAGAAGCATAAAAGAAAATTAATGCTCTTGGCACTTATATCTTACTGTTTTTTCTCACCTGCACACAGAGTTGATACTTTTCCTATCCAAAACAGGTTAAGTTTCAGGTATTCATGACTCAATATGTTTTCTATGTGATTTTTTACAACATACAGCGGGTCTGCTTTCACATGTTCCTACTAAATGCTAGGTATTCAAATATTTAGGGTTGCATCCATATTGCTTTTTACCACTTGAAATAGAATCTCAGTTCCCTCTAACCTATTCTGTCCTTCTCTATCACTGAAGTCTGCTTCATGCCTCATGTACCTGTTCTGCTCAAAACAGTGTTGGGAAAGGTCCTGGAACAGGACAGGTCTTTTGTTGTGATACAGCCTTGAAGCTTATGTCCCCTTCCTGTACAGCAGGACGGCTACGACTTGGTCGCCATCACAGAAATGTGGTGGGACAACTCGCATGACTGGCATGCTGTCATGGATGGCTACACACTCTTTATCAAAGACAGGCCAACAAGGAGAGGTGGTGGAGTTGCTCTATATGTGAAGAAGCAACTGGAATGCATTGAGCTTTACCTGGGGGCAGATGAGAAAGGAGTTGAGAGCTTATGGGTTATGATTAAGGGACAGGCTCATACAGGTGACATTATTGTGGGTGTGTACTACAGGCCACCTGACCAGGAGGAGGAGGTTGATGAGGCCTTCTACAGGCAGCTGCAAGCAGCCTCACAGTCACAGGCCCTGGTTCTCATGGGGGACTTCAACCACCCTGACATCAGCTGGGAAGACCATACAGCTAGGCAGGCGCAATCCAGGAGGTTCCTACAGAGCATCGATGATAACTTTCTGATGCAAGTGGTGGAGCAACCAACAAGGAAAGGCGCGCTGCTGGACCTCGTGTTAACAAACAAGGAGGGACTGGTGGAGGACGTGAAGGTTGGAGGTAGACTCGGCTGCAGTGACCATGAAATGGTCGAGTTCAGGATCCTGCATGGAGGAAGCAGGGCGATAAGCAGGATCAAAACCCTGGACCTCAGGAGGGCTGACTTTGCCCTCTTCAAGGAGCTACTGGGAGGAATCCCGTGGGCCAGGGCTCTCAAAGGCAGGGGGGTCCATGAGTGCTGGTCGCTCTTTAAACAACACTTCTTCCATGCACAGGAGCAATGCATCCCCCTGAGAAAGAAATTTAGCAAAGGAGGAAGGAGACCTGCATGGTTAAACAAGGAGCTTCTAGCGGAGATCAGGCAGAAGAGAAAGGTCCATGGAATGTGGAAAGAGGGACAGGCCACTTGGGAAGAGTACAGAAACGTAGTGAGAGCATGCAGGGATGCGACGAGGAAGGCCAAGGCCCACCTGGAATTGAAGCTGGCAAGGGATGTCAAAAACAACAAGAAGGGCTTCTTCAACTACATCAGCAGCAAAAGGAAGGCTAGGGACAACGTGGGGCCGCTGCTGAATGAGGCGGGTGTCCTGGTGACGGAGGATGCGGAGAAGGCAGAGCTAATGAATGCCTTCTTTGCTTCAGTCTTCAGTGCTAAGACTGGCCCTCAGGAATCCCAGGCCCCGGAGGTAAGAGAAGAAGCCTACAAAGAGGACGACTTTCCCTTGGTCGAGGAGGACTGTGTGAGGGATCGCTTAAGCGATCTGGATGTCCACAAATCCATGGGCCCCGATGGAATGCACCCACGAGTGCTGAGGGAGCTGGCGGATGTCATTGCTGAGCCACTCTCCATCATCTTTGAGAGGTCCTGGAGGACAGGAGAGGTGCCCGAGGACTGGAGAAAGGCCAATGTCACTCCAATCTTCAAAAAGGGCAAGAAGGAGGACCCAGGGAACTACAGGCCACTAAGCCTCACCTCCGTCCCGGGAAAGGTGATGGAGCAGCTTATCCTGGAGGCCATCATGAAGCAAGTGGAAGAAAAGAAGGTTATCAGGAGTAGTCAGCATGGATTCACCAAGGGGAAATCATGCCTGACCAATCTGATAGCTTTCTACGATGACATGACTGGCTGGGTAGACGAAGGGAGAGCTGTGGATGTTATCTACCTTGACTTCAGCAAGGCTTTCGACACAGTCTCCCATGATATCCTCCTGGGGAAGCTGAGGAAGTGTGGGCTGGATGAGTGGTCGGTGAAGTGGATAGAGAACTGGCTGAATGGCAGAACTCAGAGGGTTGTCATCAGCGGCGCTGAGTCTAGTTGGAGGCTGGTGACAAGTGGTGTCCCTCAGGGGTCAGTACTGGGCCCAGTCTTGTTTAACTTCTTCATCAACGACCTGGATGAAGAGTTAGAATGTACCCTCAGCAAGTTTGCTGACGACACCAAACTGGGAGGTGTGGTAGATACACCAGAAGGCTGTGCTGCCATTCAGCGTGACCTGGATAGGCTGGAAAGCTGGGCAGAGAGGAACCTGATGAGGTTCAACAAGGGCAAGTGCAGGGTCCTGCACCTGGGGAGGAACAACCTCATGCACCAGTACAGGCTTGGGGTGGACCTGCTGGAGAGCAGAGAGGGACCTGGGTGTCCTGGTGGACGACAGGTTAACTATGAGCCAGCAGTGTGCCCTGGCTGCCAAGAAGGCCAATGGGATCCTGGGGTCCATGCACCAGTACAGGCTTGGGGCGGACCTGCTGGAGAGCAGCTCTGTGGAGAGGGACCTGGGTGTGCTGGTGGACAACAGGTTGACCATGAGCCAGCAGTGTGCCCTTGTTACCAAGAATGCCAATGGGATCCTGGGATGCATTAGGAGGAGTGTGGCCAGCAGGTCGAGGTTCTCCTCCCCCTCTACTCTGCCCTAGTGAGGCCCCATCTGGAGTACTATGTCCAGCCCTGGGCTCCCCAGTTCAAGAAAGATGAGGAGCTACTGGAGAGAGTCCAGCGGAGGGCTATGAGGATGGTGAGGGGATTGGAGAATCTCTCCTATGAGGAAAGGCAGAGGGAGCTGGGCTTGTTCAGCCTGAAGAAGAGAAGGCTCCAAGGGGACCTTATAAAGGCCTACAAATATCTCAAGGGTGGGTGTCAGGAGGATGGGGCCAAACTCTTTTCAGTGGTGCCCAGCAACAGGAAAAGGGGCAATGGGCACAAACTGAAGCACAGGAAGTTCCAGCTGAACATGAAGAAGAACTTCTTCCCTCTGAGGGTGACGGAGCCCTGGAACAGGCCGCCAGGGGAGGCTGTGGAGTCTCCTTCTCTGGAGATATTCAAGACCCGCCTGGACAAGGTCCTGTGCAGCCTGCTGTAGGTGACCCTGCTTCGACAGGGGGGTTGGACTAGATGACCCGCAGAGGTCCCTTCCAACCCCAACCATTCTGTAATTCTGATTCCTCATCTGTGTTACTACTGTGGATTTACCTTTGAACGTAAGGTAGGTTTGCGTTTCTGCAATCTCACTGCTGGGCACGCGACTACTCCATTATCACAATTATCCAGGATTCTAGAAATCCAGCTTGCTGCCTCCTAGTGTCTGTACCACATACAGAACAGAAATTCACCTGTTGTCAATTAGTAATTGCTTCCTATATAACAGAAACTCCTCCTGAGGCAAAACTTTCAAGATACCACTAAATGCCTCAATAAGCACAATAAGAAGTGGCATTTCTTTAATAAATGCTCCCTGTTGTGCTAGAAAGACAGCTTTAGGCAGTGGCAAAGTCTACACACAGAAATACCCTTTTTCAGTGCAGGATTTACTTGCTTTTTTTTTCTTCTACCAAATTTTGAGAAATTACTTGTCTCTTACCTGTGGATATGAGAGGTACATTCTCCTAAGAAGAGAAGAAAGAGAGAAATGAGTAGAAACAATTTTGTAAAACACCAACCTTCTATAAGAGGATAAACACATTTCATGACACACTTGACTTTTGTAATTTTCTTTTAGTTTTCTCCATGATTACTGTTTTATGAGAGAAGGAATCATATCAGACAGATGGACTTCTTTTGACTTGGGTAAGCTTGGGGAATCACCTCACAATTGTTATTGCCTAAAAATATGCATGGGGACAGGTACCCTGGGTCAGTGGAGGCCTGATGATTTATGAAGTTTTGATCTTGGTCATGTAACTTAGGAAGCATGTCAACAAATACTGAAGAAATAACACAGGGTTTCTCTTACTTCTCCCAAAAGAGTCCTCATGGTGAAATTTACTTCATTAATGTCGTAAAAGAAAGGTATGCAGATGCTTGGGGACTCTCAGTGTAATTTAAATGGAACAAAGTTCCTTGCATCAAGCTGAGTATTTTGTGATCTAAGCAATGATACTTACATAAGAAACTTCTTGTTTGGGGACTATTTCACTTAAGTCCTCCGTGTTACTAAGACCCTTCTGTTTTCTCTTGTCTGAAACAAAAAAGGATTTTCAAAATCCAGGACAGAGTACATCTCAGGTCTCCAAGAAAATAAAATTACATCTGAGTAAGCAGCTGAGTATAATAGGAACAAGGAATAGGGAATCACTTACAGTAGATTCTTGCTCCAGCTGCTGCTGCTAGTACTAACACAATTATCAAAGCAATGGCCCACCATAGCGTTCCTCCTTCTGTTGGAACATTGGAAACATTACATTGAAGTTAAGTCAAGACACGCAATACAGCAACACACTCTGAATTTTAAAGAAGATTGCATCAGATTATAAAAGCCTTTCTGTTGTCTCCTAATGGCAGAAGCTGCCTCTTTGTTAAAGTCTTACCTATCACCAGTTGCCCCTAAAGAGGAGTAATAGCTCCTACATCTGCACAGCGATCAAGGGAAAAGAGCAGTCACGCTCTGCAGGTCACTACAGGGCCCAATAGATATGATGTCCTCAGCTGTCAGGAATCATTATGGGCCATTGTGTAGAACAGCAAAATTGCAATAGCCTCTCAAAATATAACAGATGCTAGACCATGCTAGGTTTAAAAATGGTACCTTTCGTTCCGCACACAGTGTCTGAAGTTGAAGTACATTGTTTTTCAATCAGACCGCTTTCACATCTGCAGAAAACATGAACAACAATTATTATGGTATTTGTTTCTCCCTTTATAAACTCTGTCAAGAGAGCAAATCAGAATCTTCTAACACTTTTTATCAGCTATATATTTTGTATATCAAGACGTTGCAGTTTGGAATTGAACTGGTATGAAAATGGTATAGGAAGGTATGGGAGTAGAAAAAGGTGTGAAAACAATTTTCTAGATGTAACAGTACATCACACAAAGACAACAGGAAAGCTCAGACACTTCATTACATTTTTTAAAAAGGATATACAGACTTGGTGGACATACACAAGTTTTTCTGCGTGCCTTTGGAAAGCCTGCATGGATGCAAGTTGATGCAGATAAGTCAGCTCAACAAGCTAAGTGCAAAGGAAAACTGGTTATGTTTACCCCCAGGTTACACATTACCTTAGCCTCTGCCTTGAAACTGGCTGGAAAAAAGTGTGATAATATATGATATTGACAATGTAATATTTAACAACAAAGGCATAAACTTACATGGTACATGGACTGCAGAGTCTACATGGTATAGAAGAATTGCAAAAATGGTTCTTTGCACAGGTGCATTCCGTGTTGTGTTCTGGGGTACAGTTTTTTGTAACCTCCAAACCTAAAATAAATTTCTTGAAGTTTGTTAATTCGAAAAAGTAGACGTTAAAAGCAGGCCTCTGCTCACAAGCCCTTGTCCTCAGATTTATGTGCTTTTAACTCTACCACTGCTGGAACTAGTGAAGCTTAACTGTAGAACACGAATTTTATAAGGAGCCTTGCTGCGGGAGTACCGGGAGCATGGAGATGGCCAAGAGACCTCTGCTGGCCAAGAGACCTCTGCTGGCCAACAGCTCTAAAAACTGATCACACGATAAAGCACTTGCTAGAAGAGGACTCGCTTGGCACTGCCAAATGTTCTCAGCTTCTTTTACCCATTCAGAAGTGTAAAGCCAGAATGAAGACTCAGAAGATCACATAGCCCATCTCCCTGCTTGATGTCAGAGACACATTCTTTCACTGACAGACAAAAAGTTTTATCTCTTCTTGAGGACCTCCAATGGTGAAAAATTCCACTCTCTCTTTTTAGCTAACACATTCCCTGCTTAAGTATCAAAACAAGTGAATTAATTTTCTCCTAGCCTTAGTGTATATGATGAAGTTATCTCCATCTATGAAAAATTATTTATGCATTAAAAACCACTGTAAGTATGTACTTACTTTGAGAGCTATTTTCACAGGCATATAGGAGTAGAAGCAAATTTTTGAGTTATCGCATTCAGTGCCCTGCTGTAATGGGAAATTGTTATCTTTCAAAGTTTGATGAAGCTCTACTGTGAAACCAGTGCTGAAGCCATTAATGGAAATATAAAACATGAATGATCCTAAGAACGGTTCTCATGGAACTTCAGTAGTAATGGTCCTCCTGCCTAATGTTCCTACTGACTTCTCTTCATCTACATTGTGCATGAGATAATGCAACTAGTCATCCCATTACTCTTTTTTTTTTCCTCTTCAGTTTAACTAACAGTTTCCTTTGTGGCACTGTACAAAATATTTAATTGTTTTGCTGTACTCAACTTCATTACCCAACCAAAAATGCTTATTATAGTAGCTAATGAGAAGAAAATTTTCTATGCATGTGGTGGCATTACAGAAAGGGGAAAGCAATAAAGATTGATATTCCAGCAGGTGATCTGAGTACAACCATAGAATCATTTAGGTTGGAAAAGACCTTTAAAATCATCGAGCCCAACTGTAAACCTAACACTGCCAAGTCCACCACTAAACCATGTCCTTAACTGCCACATCTACAAGTCTTTTAAATGCCTCCAGGGATCGTGACTCAACCATTTCCCTGGGCAGCCTGTTCCAATACTTGATAACCCCTCCAGTGAAAAGATTTTTCCTAATATCTGATCTAAACCTGCCCTGGTGCAACTTGAGGCTGCTTCTTCTCATCCTATCGCTTGTTACTTGGGAAAAGAGACCGACACCCACCTTGCTACAACCTCCTTTTGCGTAGTTGTAGAGAGCAATAACATCTCCCCCAAGCCTCCTTTTCTCCAGGCTGAAAAACCTTAGTTCCCTAAGAGCTGTCTCTCCACTCACCAAACTCTATTTTAGATATGATGAATGTCGAACCATCATTCCCTAAATCCAGGTATACTAGAACTACAGGACACCTGGTGGAACTGGTAGGAGATCAGTTTAATCCATTAAAAAAAAAAAAAATCTATGATGCAACAGGTAGTGAATTTCTGGAATCTGGTGTTCCTCCCCAGGTTCATAGATGGATAGTAAAATGGCTAGGTATGGATGGACCTTCTATGTCCTTTCCCACAACAGCAGATGCTGGTAGACTTTGCAGGGAACAGACCACAGAAAGTTGGCAGGTTTGTTTGTGTTTTCTCTAAATAGCACATCTTGCCTCCACCGCTGAATGGAGAACACTTGGCTAGGTGGACCACTGATCTGACCCAGTAAGGCATGCCTCGTAGTCTCCTAATTTGATCAAATATCCCACACAGCATCTTGCATGTATGAAAGACAACACTCTATCAGCTCCAGCAATTTTAAATAATATTATTAATTACATGAAAGAAACCATTGGGAATCTCCCATCCCTGCTTCTTGCAACACCCCTCTTCTTTTAAATAGAGTGCAAAGCAGAGAGCCAGCTTTTCTTGCTTAACTCTAACCAGTTTGTGTAAGGTCTGCTTTGCAAGGACTGCTTTGGCTGAGCAAAGGCAGATATAAGGAGAAATAATGGACCAACATAGCTTGTTCTTCTTCCTACTTTGTGCTTGACGAAAGGGAACTGTATGATACACCTATGACTCTGTCATTCCTTCATGTAATACCACTAAAACATATTAATCTGCATGCTACCCACTATTCAAGGATTGTGGAGACTTTTCAGTCAAATCCTGTATCAAAAGTCATCATTAGAGTTGCTATTTCTATAGACGTACCGAATACGCTGTCACATAGAGAGCATCTCATACACTCGTCCAAATCATTGTCATGATCTATGTACTCCTTTCCATTTTTACATGGAACACAGTGGTCACTAATATCTGTTGGGCAGCTGATATTTTTAACAAGACCTGTAGAGAGAGAAAAACAAGAATTAAGATTTGCAATACCTTTGGACAGACACCATCAGCTCTAACACCTACGTCAGACTTTCTTTTTAATCCCTAATACTTTTTGATTTACAAATACGGACAGAATCTATATTCTTTACTCATACATATACGCTCTTCAGGAATGCAGTATACAAAAGATCTGATTATGCCCCCTCTTCCTCCAATTTAGGACTGAAGAAGAACACACCAAAAAAAATTGTACATGCAAAATTGGAAACCCTATGAGTATATGGAGTCTCACAGGCAAAAGTCTGTGCCTGCATTTTTTAACCTCTTTCAAAGACGTGTATGTAATTCTTAGCTTCTTAGTTCTTTTGTGACAAGCATGTTATGTGAGAACTACTACGGGTAGTGAAAAGTTTTTGGTGCACTGAGCTCAAGAAATACTTTTGAAGTGTCTGATATCTTGTAATATAATAATATAATAATAATAGATAAAGATACAGCTAGAATCAACCACTGCATCCAGGATATCACAGCATGCCACTTAGCTATCCCAGCAAAACGCAATTGTGCATGTTGCATTTTCCATTCCTAATGATTTTTCAACACAGTCTTACAATGATACTCACCACGTTTACATTTCTTGCAACACTGAACACCTAAACTGTATTCATCCACGTTACACTTAGTTTCTCTCTTAGCAATGATCCTTCTCGTGATAAATTTATTGTGCACTATGTGTACTGGAGCTTCAGCATCATTTTTGCACTGAGTTTCAATAATTAAGGCAACCACCTGGGAGAGAAGAACAGCAAATTATTAAAAAAAAAACTGTCAAGGAATGTAGACATGTTTTACTACTAGCACAGATACATCAGTACCATTACTCCACTGCTAAACATACTGATATTTACCCCCTTCTTAAAGTTGTTCATTACTTCAAAAGAGTTAATGGACAATGAGCACGCATATTAGATTTAATGCCATCAACCTTAACAGTACAGGCACTGATCATTTGAAAATGAATGTGTGCGAACAGGCCTACACATCTGAGTCATAACAATTACCTTATATGCCTAATTATAGTGCAAAGCAAAAGAACCCCCATTATTTTCCTGAAGAGCTTTCTCTGCCTCAGATCACTGTACCTAAATCTGCCCTTTCTTAGCCAGTAAAAATAATCTCCCATAATGAACATTACATTTTTCTTAATTTCTTGCCACCCTACTGTTCCTTGCAAACTGAACAGTGTTAACGCATCTCTGAAGAAAACAAAAAAAGGAATGTTTTAATCTCAGCCAAAAATACCCAATTTCTAAAATGATCCTGTTCTCACTTTATTTTCCAATGCAATTATTTTTCTCCTTAGTAGATGATGCCTCTATATTCCTGAAGTATCACTCTCCTTTCAAATTAATTTACACCCTGATCCATTTCTTTGAATGCACTGTCAAGTTAAATTGCATAGTGCTGCTTTTTAATTTTTTTTTTCCTGTTACTAGTCAGTAATAACTTTACTAGCTGTCACTGTCCTGCCTCTCTTCATAATAAGAAAGCACTGTGGACCAGAGACCAAACCACTCTTTTTTTCTATTTTGGGAGCAAGGTGGGAAAATGAGGAGGGTAGACCTGCTATAGTTTGCCTTCCTCTTGGCAATGGCTTGTGGGGAATTCTGTATAGACTTGGCAGGCACTAAGTATGAGATGTTCGTATAATGGAGCTATGTAATGCTTGTTGGCTGTCTCAACTAAACTCCCTCCTAGAAATACCATTATGCAGAACAGACTGAGGACAGTCTGCTGCTAGTTAATCCAGTTTCTGAGTCTGGTTTGGAGTGACTTTAACATTTTCACAAGTGTGTTACTAACTACCTGCATGGAGCTGTAGCAGAAAAAAATAAGACAGTCCTTGTCTTGAAGAGTTTGAAGTCTTAACATCTAAGCTGAGCTCTACGTTCACTGTTTTGCTCCTCTTTAATTAAAAAAATATTGGTTTGTATTTCACAAAAGACTCAGATACACACTGTGAAGGATACTGAGGAAGGGGCAAAAATGATGCCCGGGAAGAAATGGAGCAAAGCTACTGACCTTGGCAAAATGAAAGAGCAGGCCAAGCTGCGAAGGAGAGGGGCAGCAGGGTACCTTTTTTGGAAAGAAGATTAGTGGGGAATGAGGTGCGATACAAAGAAACTGCCAAATCGTCACACCAATGGCACACTGCATGGACTAAAAGGCCCACTGATCATAGATTCACTCACGTTTTAAATAAGCATGCAAAACACCTTGACTAGAATAATTTATTTTTGATTTTGTCTTGGATATTTGACAGAGGTTAATTCTCAATAGTTGCTTATCTTTGAATACTTTTGAATTGCAACTTAATACAAATTTGACTGTACCTGTTAATGCTAACAACAAGGGACATACATATTTAAGGAATTCGCCAGTAGCTTGGTGACTGGTTATTTTTATTGTTACATTTTTATTTTCCTGCCAGAGGGTGATATTTAACAGCCGATTAATTCAGTCTTCATGATTTTGTGTGAAACTGCTTGGATGCTGACCGCAACTTTAGTTAGATGCAGAAAACTCTTTAATTAAATATTAACTTACTGAAAAATGGGTTTGGATTTCAAACTGGCATCTCAAGGGAAGGAATTGTTATCTACGACTAATTAATTGAAATTACCAATATGACCACTGTCTGCTGACTTCTACAAGTAGCCAATTCTTTTGATCCTCTAGTCTATTCCGAGATGGGAAGGTGAAAAGCATTTTCCTTCCTTAGCAGCCATCTGTTTTAAAATGTGTATAATATTAGTTACTAGACTGAAATTGAGAAGGCCTTTCTTTGCACCTGCAGGAGAAGCTTCAGCTGCTAAAAAAGTGGTTTAGCACTTGAGAAACTGTGGGTATGGATGCTCAGCCCGTCACTTCTCCCGTTCGGCGCTCTCTCGCCGCTTGCTGCCACAGCTTTGAGGGTGCCCTTCTCCGAATCCCAGTGGAATTATGTTAAAAGGTTAAAGCTCGTGTCGCGCCTTAATAGAAGCTGTCAAATGGATGAGCCAAATTAGCATGATTTGTTTTCCTTTTGCCTGGGAGAACTGTCTTAATAAAAACTGGGATAGAAAGTCCGATTGACTACTTGTTAGCAATTGTTTTTTAGAGGCGGGCGTCCAGTCCGGTCTCGGTTTCCCTGAAGCAGGGTGAAGCCCCGCACCCCCATTGCTCCGCTGCCATGCCTTGGACTGGGCCGAGGGAGGGGACGGTCACAGGACATCACTGGGGTGACATGTTTTGTCCCGGCTCTCCGAGCTGGAGGACTGTGACACCCCGACTGGTCTGCTCGCCACGAGGCCCTGGCCGGCAGAAGAGTCC